GAATCAACTCAATTTTTTTCTTAGGTTAGAAGACGATTTTTATGTCGAAGTAATACAAGACATCACTTTAAATTTCTATATCTTAATTTTAACAAATACATAACACGATGAGTTTAATAAAACGTATGTTTCGAATTAGTACGGTTGCAAATTGGCTCCACCTCATCGACAGTACATTTTTAAATCTTAATAAAAGTTTCCTTAAATAATTAGGACACAAATAGAAGAGTGTATTTTGCGTTTTAGCTTTTAAATACTATAAAAAATGGTGGAAAGTCCATAAATTTTAAATATTTGTTAAATATCACTTATTAAAATATTATGCATTAAAAGTAACACAAACTATAGACTTTCCACCATTCTTTACCGTACTCTGAACCCATTTTTAAAAACAATTTCTGAAATTATTATTGTCAGGATCTGTATTTTTTGTGTCGGCGTCAGTTGTCATTGACAACGCGTTGAACTTGGACTTAAAGGTTTAATATTCTTGATGTATAAAACCCTATGACATCAAAAAAGAACAACTAATAACGGTCTACAATTAACAAGATAAGATCTCTGTACATATGCTATCGAGCAAATGCTTGAGGGGAGAAGGGAAGACATTTGGAAGTTGCTCGAAATCAAGCACCGTTAAAAAGGAACGATCATTTAGAGTCGAAAGCAGCTCTAGTAGTGCTTGCGAGTAACATTTTTTGTCAGTTTTACCCCTTGAACGGAAACCCTCTAGCGGGGATGAGAGTCCAATGTTAAATGATATCTTATTTTAAAGGTATTTTTACCTAGATTATAACCCTCGAGTTTTACATCGCTACTATCTACGTAGCCCATACAGTGGCTAACCAAAAGTACAAAACTGGTTTAACATAATCTTTACATTGTTATTAAAAAAAAAGAATTTTTTTGTAACAATTCTAGTTATATTGTTATCAGATGATATTCTTTGGTCGCCGTAAAGTAGTAAGGTGTAGTTTCTTTCGTTATAGAGTCGGCATAAAAGTGGCATATCAGTGATAATGGTTTACTCAATTTCACTTTTTTTTGCGAACAATGGATGTGCCCAACTGTTTAACAATCAAAATCGACAAGTCCATCGCAAGTATATTTTGGAGTTAGTCCAAAAATTTTGGGAAACTAGGTCAGTAACTAACAAATAACGTGAAATAGAAAATAATGTAGTAAATGGTACAGAGGTGGCGATTTTAAGGCATGTTGTTCAAGAACCCACATTGAGCACAATACAGTTGGCGATAACATCTGGTATCAAGAGAAGTAGCATTCAGAAGATATTGAAAAAACACAAGTATCATCCCTAAAAAATACATACTTAACTAAGACGATTTTGATAGGCGATTACAATTTTGTGAAATTATGACTGAACGAGCAATAAATGATCAGCAATTTCTTTTCAAAGTGTGTTTTTCTGACGAATTCACTTTTTTTCTAAATAGTACGGTAAATTGTCACAACTGTCGTTATTGGTTCAATTCAAATCCCAGAATATTTCATGAACTGCATACGCAACATTCGGAAAAACTGAATGTTTGAACTGGAATATTTGGGAATCGTATAATTGACCCCTTTTTTTACCTGGAACTCTAATCGCAGAAATATATCTGGAATTATTAGAAAACGACATTCATTCAGCATTACTAGAGTTGATTGAGAATGACGATCAGTATATAGCAAACAACTTAATATTCCACCCCATTTTGCACTGACTATTCGACAGTATTTGGATCAAACATTTCCAGGTCAATGGATCGGAAGAAGAGAAGGTATTGGTTGGCTCCCACGGTCCCCGGATCTAACCCCGTTAGATTTTTTATGGGGCCACTTAAAACTTATACCACCCAGCCAACATCACTGGAAAATCTGCGACAACGGATAATTGATGACACTAGCGATTTTAAACTCGGGGGTTATAATCTAGCTAAAAATACCTTCAAAATAAGATTTTAGGGGGAAGTTTCACCCCTGCTAAAGGGTTTCCGTTTAGGGGGTGAAACTGGCAAAAAAATATTTCCCCCTAAAATCAAAAATTGACGAGCGTTTTTTCGTAAATGACCTAAGTAGGGTTGCCACCTTTTTGAAAAGTGAATAAAGGAGCTGCGGTAAACAAAAAGTCCTCATCCTTTTACTGAACTAAAAAAAAAAGTTCGCCAAGTTTGTAACCAAAAAAACCCTTTTCGTCATTCTACCGACCTTCTTAAAAACCTCAGCTTATATATTTTTGTCCCTTCCAAAGATATGTGCTGTAAAAAAGACATTTGACTTAAAAAAGGACACGTTAAGCTTTAAAAAGTCACAAGGACATTTTGAGTCAAAAAAAAAGACTGTCCTTTTCAAAAAAGGACAAGTGGCAACCCTAGACCTGAGGTACCCAAAATTCGTTTTTAAATGGCCACCCTGTACATATACAATACTCTATTATGTGTATATTAATAAATCATCAAAAATCTTCTAAATTCATGATAATTAATAAATGTTTTATATTGTGTTTCTACTTATTTCATTGGTACTCTAGCACCGCAGCACCACTGAATACCAGTGATGGCTGTATCGAGCATATAGGGTTGCCAAAGGCCAGATATTCCAATTTAGGTGGGAGCCTCAAGCATACCGATTGTTGATACTCCCGTCTGCCGCTTCAATCTTTAAAACTCCATCAATTCGACATTGGACAATGCCTTTTTTTAAAGAAAATTTTCATAAAGTCAACGCTTTAAAATGGCTTTTAAAGTGCTTTTAAAAATCGGTGGTGACCCTAAGTGTTGTGTGGAGGGAGGAAGGAGCTCTCATTTCCCACATAGAGGCCGAGCACCCAAAGCAATTTTTGAGTTCCGGCGCCTATGCGCCTCCTCGAAACTTATTTACCTCTTATACGAGGGTTACTATTTATATTGTGAGCCTAATAAAGAAAAAAACAGTAATTTGTCATTAGAAATAGTTTTAGTTTTTCAAAATATTCTCCATTATGATGTAGGTATGCATTTTTGCATTCGCTCAAACCATTTTTGAAAACATTTTTTGCATTGTTCTTGGGATACCTCCAAAACATGATTTTTGAATGCATCAACGGCTTCTTCTGCTGACGAAAATCGTTGTCCACGGAGTTTATCTTTGATATGCGGGAACAACAAAAAGTCGTTGGATGCCAAATCAGGACTGTATGGCTGATGACCTATTAATTCAATACTTTCAGTACTCAAAAAGTCCCTTGTTTGAGTTAGTGTGTGCGAGCTTTCGTTGTCGTGATGGAGAATTATCCGTCATTGCTGTTTGATTTCAAGCTTATGTGCATAAATCCATGATTCGTCACCTGTAAGAATCTTATACAGGTCTCCATTGAATTTGTTAAGTATCTGGTTACACCAATCGACGCGAGCATCTTTTTGAGCTTTTGTCAAATTGTGAGGGATCCAACGAGAACAAATCTTTTTCACCGCTAAATATTCATGCAATAATTTATGTATGCTAGTGGAACTAATGCCTAAGGTTGCCTCAATCTCAGAGTATGTCACGTAACGAACTTGCAATATCAATTTTTGCACAATATCAGTATTTTCTGGCACAACAATTGATTTTGGACGACGAGTCATCTTCCAACCGATCCCTTACTTAAAATTATTAGGGGGGTGCGGGCCGTTGCAAATTTCACACTTAACAAAGGTGGGTCAATAGATTGTTTATCCCTTAATTTTGTTGTAAATAGATTTCAGTACGAAGGGCGCCACATTACGGTTAGAAAAATGTTACTTGCAGAGACTTTTTTGAAGAAAGAACATTTTAGGACAAAGTTAAAGATTTGCAGCAGGGATATATAGAATTAGATTTTTCAAATTATTTCTTATAACGACATGATTAGTGCCTTAAAACACGTAATATTGTCACCTTTTTCTATCTTGAATAATAGAAATATTTAAAAAAAATTAATCATTTTGTTCTTATACATCCCTAGAAATACGTTTTCTTCCATCACCTGACAACACGCAGGTTTGCCAAGGCTCACAATATAAATAGTGGGGTAAATAAAACTATATAAATTATTTTCTTTTATAAAATAAATACTTACATCCGCATTCACAAAGCTGTGTAAATCTAGATAGAAACAGAGCTTTGTACTTAGTATTTTAAATAGTTAAAGTAAATACTTAAGTACGAAAAGATACTTCAAGATTTGACTTAAGTACTAATACTTAAAATACTACCAGAAACCCTACCAGAACTACGAGTAGCTGCAGAAAATGCTACCAAAGGCATGATTCTGGAAAAAATCAGGAAAATATACGAAAACATTTACGTGACATTTGCTGGTAAGTCGCTTTCCGACTGATTCGAAGGGTACAAATCCATTGATAACTAAACGAATATGAGTAACGTTTACTTGTTTATATTCACCTGACCCATTAACTAATATCATTAACTCTATTTTAAACACTGATCTGTATTAGTGATTTTAAAGGTGAAAATATACTTGTAAGTAAATGTTTACTTATTACTCACTTATTATAGACTTCACCCTCTACCCCCAGTGGTAGTCGAAGTCGAAGTGTACTACAACTTTCTGCATTATCCATCCAGTCTTGAATTATATAGTGGAGCTGGTCTTAACGACAACAGCTTTTTGGTGCCCCTTTTATATTTGGCTTTCGTTCTTTTCTTTTATTATAAGAATCTTATTATTGTATTATATTCTTTTTCGCCTACTAGCAATACATCTGTAATATTGGCGTGATTTATCATTCCTCCCGGGCGGTTTATGCAGACATGCATTTTTTATGAAGTAACATGCACTTGGTTGTTTTTACTAATTTATTATTAAATCTTTAATGAAATTCGTGGGTCGTGGGCCTCTTAAGTTTTTCTAGGGTGAATTTTTATTTACATCTCTTCTGCGTCATAAAAAATTGTGTGGAACTAAAAATAAGAGAAGCATTCGTAGTCCTTCAACAAGAGAAAAGTGCAGCTCAACTTGAAGTTTCTTTTATTTTCAGGTGGTTGAAAGACCATGCCTCTCAAGATCTGAAACAAAGGGTCCAGAAAGCTTTGTTACCGGAAAAAGGGCACATAGCCAAGAACTCGAATATTTCATCTGATATTTTTCAACTCTGGTTGGCCGCCTCTCCTGCAAACAATAATCAACATTTGCAAAATGTCCGTCCTGAGCAAGACTATGAATCTTTGGAGGTAAGAAAAATATATTACTTTTATTTAAAATTATCGCCTCGCTCAACTGTCCATAATAATAATAATGGGTGGATTCTGTCTTGGTTATGACAATTTCGAAATATTTTGTTGCAATGAAAAGTTATGTGTATTGTATTTGTTGCGACTAATTTTTAAGTGATTGTATACATTACCTTTCTCAATCATTAACTTTTAATGCTAGTGTGCGTCAAAGATATTCTGAATTTTATAATATTTATGTTGAATAACATGAGGCTGTTAATGTTAATAATTCGACAGTTAGTCATATAGATAGAAGATGAGAAAATAAGGATCAGAATGTTAAAAACCAAACCTGAAAAGAAAAAGTTCACAAAATAAGTATATTCTCCAACAAAAATTTTGAAAAACAAACAATGGACAATAATAAACTTTTAAAATTAAGATTAGCCTAGATTAGCAATAAAAATAGTAGTTTGTTCAACGATAGTAAACACGAAGTTTGAGCACTAAGCCGTAGCCGTAGACGAAGTGCGATACGGACAATTCATTCGAACTGATTAGTAAATTTTTTCTACGGCCCATCTAAAAAATCTACAAAATTATAAAAAGTAATTTAGACGTTGTAAAAATTAGGCAAGTTATAAAAGTAATAATAAAAAATCGACTTCAAAATCATGCAGATGCCATCACAAAATAAGCTTGCTGATTTTATTATAGATCTCATCATCAGATCTTGGTTAAATATATATGGGACCACCCCTAAGGTGCCTCCTTTTTAACAAGAAAAAAATCTTTAAATCGGACAACGTGGTAAAGAATTATCCTTGAACATACATAAAATAAAAAATCGGTAAAGTATTTTATACAGAACTTCCTTCGATATAGAAATCGTAAAAATAGGGATCCCCGAAGCACTCAAATTTTAATAATTTAAAATTAAAACCACTCAACCAAAAACCCTTTTTCACATTTATCTCTCCATCGATCTTCCTCTTGATCCCACCCAAAATGTCACTTCGCGATTGCTCCATATTCTTCGCCAAATTTACCGTTATTGAACAATAATGGTTGGCTTCTTTTAAAATGGTCCAGTTTCATAAACCAAAAGGCCATTTTTTATTATTTCCATTTAAGGTTGACCTTTTTTGATTAAATGCGATTCCTTTTAACACAATTTTGAATTTTTAAAAACTTATTTAGAATATGTTGTCTTTGGCTTCTAAAATTCTCAGATACCAATTTTAGGCGAAATCTCCTGACTTTAAAATTTTTTTTTAGAAAAAGCTGCTTACCCTGTATATAAGTGATTGGAAGTATAACTGGTTTTGAGCCAGAAAAGAAAAGAACCCCCGCATACAAAATTTGAAGTTTTTCTATAAAGCCTTTTTTTGAGCTATCGTGCCAACAGACAGACAGTGTAATGAAGTCAATTTTCATTACCATTTTTTTTTTATTCAATTGTTAAATTAGTATTCTTAATAATGATTTTAAATCTAACTTTCAGTAGAATCCGGCATATCAATTTAATAAAATTAATTATTCGTTACTATTTTAATTTATAAATCAACTTTTTGGCTTCACCCTGTATCTATTATTTTGAAATATATAATAATCCGAAAATCCATAGTACTTTCACAATATAGCAATGGTTTTCAAAAGTCATTTTAAACCAGGATTTTGAATTTTATATTATAGAAAATTTGTAGATTTAGGAATTTATCATTTTTACTTTCCTATCTGTATACAGATATAAGGAAAGTATAGGAATCATGATTTTTTTCGACCTCGAGTTTTCGACGGATTTTTACGTTTTGAGGTCCCCTGAATCCGTTTTGACTATTTTCGCGATGATGTCTGTGTGTGTGTGTGTGTGTGTGTGTGTGTGTGTGTGTGTGTGTGTGTGTGTGTGTGTGTGTGTGTGTGTGTGTGTGTGTGTGTGTGTGTGTGTGTGTGTGTGTGTGTGTGTGTGTGTGTGTGTGTGTGTGTGTGTGTGTGTGTGTGTGTGTGTGTGTGTGTGTGTGTGTGTGTGTGTGTGTGTGTGTGTGTGTGTGTGTGTGTGTGTGTGTGTGTGTGTGTGTGTGTGTGTGTGTGTGTGTGTGTGTGTGTGTGTGTGTGTGTGTGTGTGTGTGTGTGTGTGTGTGTGTGTGTGTGTGTGTGTGTGTGTGTGTGTGTGTGTGTGTGTGTGTGTGTGTGTGTGTGTGTGTGTGTGTGTGTGTGTGTGTGTGTGTGTGTGTGTGTGTGTGTGTGTGTGTGTGTGTGTGTGTGTGTGTGTGTGTGTGTGTGTGTGTGTGTGTGTGTGTGTGTGTGTGTGTGTGTGTGTGTGTGTGTGTGTGTGTGTGTGTGTGTGTGTGTGTGTGTGTGTGTGTGTGTGTGTGTGTGTGTGTGTGTGTGTGTGTGTGTGTGTGTGTGTGTGTGTGTGTGTGTGTGTGTGTGTGTGTGTGTGTGTGTGTGTGTGTGTGTGTGTGTGTGTGTGTGTGTGTGTGTGTGTGTGTGTGTGTGTGTGTGTGTGTGTGTGTGTGTGTGTGTGTGTGTGTGTGTGTGTGTGTGTGTGTGTGTGTGTGTGTGTGTGTGTGTGTGTGTGTGTGTGTGTGTGTGTGTGTGTGTGTGTGTGTGTGTGTGTGTGTGTGTGTGTGTGTGTGTGTGTGTGTGTGTGTGTGTGTGTGTGTGTGTGTGTGTGTGTGTGTGTGTGTGTGTGTGTGTGTGTGTGTGTGTGTGTGTGTGTGTGTGTGTGTGTGTGTGTGTGTGTGTGTGTGTGTGTGTGTGTGTGTGTGTGTGTGTGTGTGTGTGTGTGTGTGTGTGTGTGTGTGTGTGTGTGTGTGTGTGTGTGTGTGTGTGTGTGTGTGTGTGTGTGTGTGTGTGTGTGTGTGTGTGTGTGTGTGTGTGTGTGTGTGTGTGTGTGTGTGTGTGTGTGTGTGTGTGTGTGTGTGTGTGTGTGTGTGTGTGTGTGTGTGTGTGTGTGTGTGTGTGTGTGTGTGTGTGTGTGTGTGTGTGTGTGTGTGTGTGTGTGTGTGTGTGTGTGTGTGTGTGTGTGTGTGTGTGTGTGTGTGTGTGTGTGTGTGTGTGTGTGTGTGTGTGTGTGTGTGTGTGTGTGTGTGTGTGTCTGTATAACGCATAACTCATGAACCGATACACAGAAAAACACCAAATTTTAAACTTAAGCTTTGTTTCAGCGTCCAATAAGCTGATTAGATTTTGGGCAGAGTCGGAACATCTGGGGGGGTACTTTATAAGTGGTCATTTTTATATTTTATGGAATATATCTGTTATTTACGTTTGGAGAAGAAAATTCTTTAAATAAAAGTTACTTCTAATATAATTATCTATAATTTTTGTTTTATGCAAAATTTTCCTAAAATGGTCCGTATTCGAGAAATTTGACAAAATGTAAAAAACGTAATTTTTTATAAAAATTGTTCAAATAAAACTTGTTTGTAATATAATTCTCTATAATTTTTGTTCTATACATAATTTCTCTAAAATGGACCGTATTCGAGATATTTGAGAAAATGTGTAAATTTCGAAATTTGAAGAAAACTCAAAAACGGATAAAGGAAAAAACATTAAATTTTAAATTTAAGGTTTATTTCGGCCTGACGTGAAATGATTAGATTTTGGACAACGTCGGAACATCTGGGGGGGTACTTTATGGGAGGCCGTTTTTATATTTTATGGAATATATCTGTTATTTATGTTTGGAAAAGAAAATTGTTCAAATAAAAGTTACTTCTAATATTATTATCTATAATTTTTGCTTTATGTCAAAATTTCCTGAAATGGTCCGTATTCGAGAAATTTGACAAAAAGTGCAAAATTCTGATTTTTATGAAAATTGTTGAACTAAAAGTTGTTTGCGATATCGATTTCTATAATTTTTGTTTATACATGATTTTTCTAAAATGGACCGTAATGGAAAAGTGCTAAATTTAAATTTTTCTGTATTTTCGTTTTCAATGAATATCTATAGAAAAATGTTTCGAGGTGTATATATTTAGTTTATCCTCTCAACATTTATAGAGATGCTGCAATAGGTTGTACAAAATAACCGGAAAAAGCCTATAATAACTAGATAGATTTTTAATATTTTAAACAAGAACGAACGTCAGCACCCAGCACCGTACCCCTTCTCGAATACCTTCTCCCTCTTAAGTTGATCGTGCATGGGACATTGGTAAATATTTTTCGAGTCGAGATCGAAAACAATTCCGAGCGATCGAAAGAGTCCGTCGATAAGTGTAATACCGGCGCCGCGAGCCAAAACCGTTTTGTTTGCCGCAGTTAATACAAAAAAAAAACGTTTTAATTTTTTGCTGTAGCATCGAGTTGAGATAGAAAATAAAACCGAATTAAATTAGGTAGATTTAAACACCTTTTGAGATTTACATTTTAACACGTAAATACTCGACCATTCACTGTTGGATTCTAATTAACAGTGTTGTTCCTAAAGTGGCGCTTGGAAACAGTAACAAAGCCTACACAGAACACGAGGCGAATTAACCCTGGTTGTTGAAGCTCCGCGTAGCGCTACTCGTATAGGAAACGGAAAAATACTACCGGGTGATCTATTAAAACGACCTGCCAAATAATACCTTTTGATTTGAAATTGATAATAGTCTGAGTAAAAAATATTGCATTCGACAAATATAATGGTTTTTAAGTTTGTGCAGTGCTTCCATGACAAGAAAAAATTGCACTGCCTAGATACCGATATCTACTACATAATCTCTTTTTTTAAATATTTGATTGTAAAAGCCCTTCATGCTAAACATGCTGCCAAAACAATGTTTTAATGGAATATAGGGTTTGTTCTGTAATCGCCCACCTCCGTACCCCTTTGAGTTTTGTTTAAAACTAATCAAATTATTTAACCATATCTTAAATGAAAATATTTTATTATCGGCCTTTGAAATATTTGTACCTGATACCGGGTTAGCAGATTACAACTTTTAAACGACTAAAGATAGAAATGTGAAAGGTTTCGTAAGTAATACAAACAAGTTTTATTTGGATTGATCCAATTT